ATGTTTTATTTAATTTGGAAATCTATGCAAAGGTCACATTTTTTTTTTTATAGGCATGATTATTTACTCAGAGCTCTTTTTATGACTATTCAGATTAAAAGGAAATTAATGTTGCATATGCAGTAAATGAAAGGAGTTGTGATTTGAGCTTCATCATTTAACCTGCTAGGTACCCTATAGAAGACTTGTGACATTTTCACTGGGAAGAAAACAAGAAAACCCAGTTAGAGATGGGACAACACAAGGCACTTATAATAACTCTTATTGTGTGGATCCCGATTGTTGTCCTTCTTTGTGCAGCAATTGTGGTATGGGTGATATTGCCTAACAGCAAAGCAGAGAGTGTGACAGTGAAGATTGTCCCGGAGTCAAGAATCTCCCCGAGTGCTGATAACAGTACCACCAGCCAGGATCAGGTGGTCATCGGGACAGGCAGCAAACGTGGAGTGCTCTTTATCTTGGGGATAATTTTTGCCAGTGGACTGTTTGTGTTCCTGTTAGTGTTAATCACAGTGGTTTGTGTGTGGGCCCAGCAGACTCGTGGTTATGTGATTGGGCGGGATCCACTGTATGATGGTTCAGTGGAGGTGGCAGGAAATGAAGAGATCCAGTTAAAGGATCATAGTAATGGTGGCATAGGCAAGTGCGTCAAACAGCCAGACTCTCAAAAACAAGAAAACTCCCATAATTTATCCTTTGTTAATAATTCTTCTCCTCCATTGAAAACCATTGTTGTATGTAATCAAGTTAACGGTGAAAATACAGACCTAAAAAGTGGTCCACCTGATGAAGTGTTGTGCTCACAGTCTGTAGGTGATCTGAAAGCAACTCACCCACAGAATTATGGTACTCTGAGTCGTACCAGGTTACTTAGCTCCGTTGACGAGGACGGTTATCATATTGATAATCTCGGCTTTGATTTGGATGGAGATAATAGTAACTGTGACTTTCTTCCGACATCAAGTTCTCCAGAAACAAGCCTTTTGGATGACAACACAAGGAACCTGTTAGAAAAGCTCGAGGAAGAACTACAGAAACCAAGTGCTGATTCAACAACATCCCCTCTTGCATCTCCCAAAACAAATTCAGCCTCAGGGTCACGTGAGTCTTCACTGCAGAGACAGTTGACCAAGGAAGATTCATTCCAAGGGCTGCCACCACTGAATTCCTTTGACAACTACTTAACTCTTGTGAGATTAGACTCCACCACTAGCCTTAGTTCCAGTAGTCTTGAGGAAGCAAGAAAGCAGTGGCAGAGTATCGAGGAAGAAGAAGAGAATGAGAATCTAGGAAACAAACTGGAAATTGATAACAAAGCGAAAGATCCATAGTTAGCATTTTTCTCCCCCTGCAAACTTCAAAACTGCAAAGGAAATTTTGAACTTTAGAAACACCAAGTATTGATTTTGTAGACATCATGGCAGACTCAAGACGCAGTTCAGTCAGTAGCACCAAGAGCTCCTCATCTGTTGAGCTTGAAAGGAGGAAGTCAATTGAAAGCCTCAAGAAATCTTCTCTTGAGAGTCTCAGAAGGTCAAGCCTCTCAAACCAGAAGCAGGAAATTAGTGAACAAGGGCATTCTGACAACAAGGATGGATTGTCGGACTCCTATGCCCAAAGTAAGTTCTCTAGGAAGCGTTCAGTCCAATACCGCAATACAGGATGGAAATCATCACATGAAAGATTCGCCAGGAATGACTCGTCTGGATCTATTAAGAGCAACCAGTCGGAAAAGGTACCTGAAGTTCAAGAAGAGGAAGTGACAGCGCCTCCCCAGATTTCACCAGAGGGCCAGAAAAATTATTTCCAGCAGAGCTTTATTGATATTGCTCTCTTGCTCAGAAGTGCAGGTGTTAATGATGATCTGGTGGAGATGCTCCAAGCTTAATTTCTTTCTACAGTCATGAGAACAAGATTAAATAAAACAGACAGTATGTCACAGCAAAGAATATCCATTGTAACAAATGGAATTAAAACTAAAATCTATACAAAGGCAATAGTTCTGTTTTGATATAATGGGTTTGTTATTTATAGAATTTCACAGAAAAACAAGAATATTAATGCATACAGAGATGAAATGAACAAAATGATATATGAAGACTAAACTGGAATATTTTGAGCCAGACCAGATATCACACCTGATCCACCTTAATGAGGAGTCACAGTTTAATGTTTTCTGCATTATTATGTTTGTTTCATCTCAGAGTGACAAGTATATCATATTAGAGAATATCTAAATATTGTCAAAATACGGAAATCTTTTTAGTCTTGATTGTATCATTTGCCTCTCATTACACCTTGTAAATTTAGTTGTTAGCTAGGTTTTAGCAACAGTGATAGGCATGCTAAGGTGATAGGAATGGCTGTCTATATTTTATTATTACTATTAGTGTGATTGTCTTAACCCAAAAGTTAAGGTTGAGAAGCCCAATATATTTGTTATTGGTGTTGGTAATTCAAGAAAATATGTGAAGGAACTAATTAAAGCATTAGCTTTCTCTCTCTCTCTCTGGATCGTCTCTCTTCTCTCTTATCTCTCTCTCTCTCTTCTCTCTCTCATTCTCTCTCTCGTTCTCTCTCTCTCTTCTCTCTCTCTCTCTCTCTCTCTATCTCTCTCTCTCTCGTCCCCCCCTTCCTCTCTCTCTCTCTCCTCCCTTCCTCTCCTCTCTCTCTCTCTTCCTAGCCTTCCTCTCTCTATTCTCTCTCCTTCTTCTCTATCTTCTCTTCTTTCCTCTTCTATTTCTCTGCCTTCCTGTCTCTGTCTTCTTCGTCGCTTGCCTTCTCTCTCTCGTCTCATCTCTCTTGTCTCTCTCTCGTCTCTCTCTCTCTCGTCTCTCTCTCTCCTCTCT